GTTTAATGACTTTTATATGTGAAATGTGACTTTAATACATATGTCAAAATATTATAGTTACAATATGTTTGCGGATTTATGAGACTATGTGTGTATGATTTAATGTTTTAAATAAATAGTAATAAAACTAATATCTGAGTTAAATCAATGAAGAAAGATATCGGAAATTTAATCAGAATTTTGGATTTCTAATCTGCTAGAAATTTAATATTTGTCTCATTACGTTTTTATGGCTACTTAGTGTCTTTTTTCACGCACATCGGTAGATTGGGCTGCCGGATGATAAGGGTCGTATCGCGACACAACTGCGACAGAATGTCTATGAAAAATTACTGAAGAGTTGCTAACACAGATTCCATAGGCTACTGTCTCGACCATCCATCTTCGACCCTTTAAAATGGGTCCTTCCACTGGTCTCAGAGCGGAAACGTGACTATAGAATGAAAAATATGAAATATATATATGCAAACATTAAAAACGTATAATCAATTTCTGATATATAATTAAATTATTTTTATCATACATTTTTGTGCTTCAAGAAAAATGTCGATTATACAATAAATATGTACAGTACGTACTATATTTGCAGATCATTTTCTGAAGTGTGTGTGCCTGTGGTGCGAGCGAGAATTATAATTGTCCGTAGCTTATAACTTATTCCTCAATTCTCTTAAGAGGAGCATGGTCAAAATCGCGATGGATTTAATAAGAATTCTCTCTCCGTACTTACCAGTTGGAAACAGTAATTTTAAAAAATGCCCATTGCTTCATTCGGCTAATGGTCAACTTTTAAATTTTTTTATATTTTTGCATAGTTTTTTTCTGAAGACTTCTTAATAGATTTCTGACTCTTTCCATTGTGTAGATTGCTAATTTTTTTTATTCGTGTAATTTATAAATAAATTCAACGGGTATTAGTACAATCATGCGTGTTGTTGGGCTGCAATTTGAAAAAGTAGGCAGAATTCCTATGTCGTCTCCCTGTATGCCTGTCGTCCGTTAATCTCGAAAAAGGTATTAGATAAATGAAAGTTAAAACGAGGTATGGAAAGTGTACGGTCAAATGACCTGGATTAACTATAAGAGAACTTCTGTTTCCTCCAAATGTCATGTTATTTGAAATCAAAATTTTTCTCTAAACACAGATGACCTGCATGGCTATTGTTAACAGGGAATATTTTATATTAAATAAATTTAAAATATAATTAAAAATTGCATTCCGGCATTGTGTCGATATCACAATAAATAATTACTTGTTAATGTTAAGGAGATTTATTCATTGATTCTGCGTAATGAATTATTTCGTATACTCTTTTATGTACACATACTTTGCACTAATGACAGCTTATATAAAAATTCCAACAATTGTAGCTGTTTGAATTACATTTTTGCAATTATTTCAAATGACTATTGCAGTTTTTGTTAGTATATAACCATGTAAGACACAATGGAAAGAATTCGAATGTGATTTTTTCAATAATACCATTGCATTATCATTGGTTGTTTATCTTAGTTACGTGTATCTATTTTCTATATTATTTTATTTCTCGTATATTAGAAAGACGAGTAAAAGATTGAAGGGTATATAAGTATATTTTATGATCTATTGCTTCTTCCCCAGGCAATTGCGAGTTTGAACCTTTTTGTTACATTTCAATATTGTTTGTTTTTTACTTGGTCAACTTTGAGAACATTTATAATTACAATAATTCAGTAAAGTTTTGACATATCTACATTAACCCCTTTGTAAAAATTATTTCGAGGTTTCTAATCGTTGAAAATACTTTATTATGTAGAATGGACTGTTGATATAGTGACATCGATATAGTGAATTTTTAAATTAACGAAAACAATATGATCTATGCTATTTTTTTAAAGATGTAAAATGGGCATTTTTATAAATGTATTAAAAAGTTAGTAATAAGAGTACGCAGCGAGAATCAGATTAGAGAAAGAATGTAGCCGCGCTGCATGACTATATTTAACAATTACTTTTCGAATTACTTTAAACCCCTTCCGCAACGATCCGGAATTTCTATCGCACCAGCGGTACGATGGCATTGGAACTGGAAAATCCAAAATACGAGGTTCTCGGTCCGCACAAAATATGTTTTAAGTGGTTATCGAGGGTGCCAAGTTCGTTCGTTTTTCGCGAAATTTGATTCGTCGTCATATGACCATTTGATATTCGCCCGTGAAAGGAACACTTTTTTAGAGGTAAGAAAAAATTATGGTAGTTGAAAAAAACTAAGATACCACATTGGTGTCTACTTGACCTATGAATCTGTACCATTTCGTGCCGTTTGAGTATAATAATAAACATGATAATGGTAGGCCAAAATAACCAAACTCTTTATATGGTTTTTGTTTTAATATTTATTACACTGTAGTATTTGATTTATGTAACGACAAAGGTTAACTTAGATAGTCCACTTGGTATAATAAACCCTTACTAACACATTTTCAAAATTGTTTATTTCTCTACTGTATACAATTTAAGAAAATTTTTAAATTCATAGCAGTTGGTATTATAATATGATATAATATAAAAAAATGTAGTGTTCTTAATGTTTGTTGTTACTTTTTACCCGAGCAGGCCGGGCTCATCTAGTCAATGTATACATATAAATGAGAATGCTTGTTTGTTCGATATACACTCTTATGCCGTTCTACCAGTTGCTACGACACTTGGCAATTACGTATACTTTTAACTTAGATAATGATGTACTTATTTTGGTTTATTACGAAGATCGGATCGTATTAAAAAAAATGAATTACGTGATGCAAAAACATAACGTCATTGCTGTATCACGTGACGGCTATAAACTCCATTATATATGCACTCCAGATGCAAATTTCAGAGAATTTTTCCCTATAGCAAAACATTAGAACTAAACTTATTATTTAGAAAATTAAAATTTCATGGTCAAAAGTATGCGTGTTAAATTTGATTTCTTTTTAACTGTCTGCCCCCTGAGACAAACTCGTGCAATGTTCTGTCAAAATCACTGTCTTTAGAAACACAGACAAAGAAGTGACGAAATTGGATGCAAAATGCAAAATTTTAACATTAAATCGTGTCACTATGCAATAATAAAATTTTCTCGTTGTTGAGGAGAATCTATTGTTGACTTGTGCGATTGTTTAATGCGAGTGCTTTTTCAAGTTTTGCTTCGTTTGCAGAGATTGTTTAAAGTGATGTAAGTTTACACTATGACCTTTGCAGATTTAAATACTCTTTAACTTTGATCAGCAAAATATCACAGTTGGCGGCCATCGGTTTCGATCAGAATTAATCGGTTTCCTTCGGAGAAATCGCATCTTTTCATTGTTAATTTTCCAATAGCAAAATAAAAATTAATAAATAGCCTGGTTTAAAATTTGTTATTTCTCGCTATAGTTTATAAATTACATACGTATATAGGCCTATATTAATATCCCATATGAAATTCGTCTAAATCTTAATTAATTAAAATAATTCCTCTATTTTCGCAGTTGCTTTGTTTTATGGCACGGCAGTCAACAGAATAGTTCAATTTTTATAAACTAATTCCTCTATCGAACATAAAAATTGTTGAAAAAATTAAAATTATTATATACAATAATATTCTTTTCTAACAGGAATTAATCATTTTTGTATTAGAAATTTACAATTCAGATTAGAATAGGAATACCTTGTATTCCTATTTCTCAATTAATCCTCTCATTTTTTTTCGCAGAATGGAGAATTTCAGAGAGTTGAAGAAGTTGCGCATCTCGGACAATGCAGAGTCCGAGGATGACGCCTGGTCTTGGCCAGGTGTCATAAGGGTGCTTCCGAAGGATACGCAGGGGAAAAGTGTCATACACCGGATGTCAGACGGGTGGTGGTCGTAACTCCGGACGACACCGCCTCGTCTCTCGTGCAAAGTCTAGAGCGGCGATATCCGGAAGTTCCGGAATAGACGGTGGAGACCGGAGTGTAGAGAATGGAGTCCGAAGAGTTTGTCGAGCGTAAAAGGCCTTGGTGGAAAAGGTTGTTTTGCTGCTGGAAGACATAAGCCTGTTCTCTGGCCAAACCTTGTTGCGCAGATTTCGACTTTCCACCGAATGTAACATCGCCACTCGGAAGTGACCTTTCACCCGAATATGACACTCACCAGGAATTGACTTTTTACCCGGCTACGACTTAATCGACTGGACTTGACTTTCCATCCCAATTTACGGATGGATACTTCGACGCTATTCGAGATTCGGTTAAAGAGCATTTAGAACAACGACAGAAACATCAAGCATTGTTTTCGTGTTTAATTAAAAGCTGTTTAAACGACTATAACTGGCCAAAACAACTTATATTCTACAGACATTTACACTGTATATCATTTGGTGTTCTACTGCTAAAAACTTTCGTCACTAAAAGGCATTCCAGACGAATTTAAATAAACCAAAAAATACACGTACTCGGTTTGTGTACTACACAATTATAATTACTTCAACAATTAAACTTGTACAGAAATTTTTATATTTAATAAAACTAATTAAATTTTATATTGAATGTTTACAGACTCGATATTTATTAAAGTTGCGCATTTCTTGATGAGTTTATAATTAATAATAATGTTTATGATGACGAAAACAGATAAATTGTACCCGATTCATTACGAAAAAAAAATATCTAAATTTAATGAGCCAAAAATAATTTTAAACAGTTGAAAGTTTGTAGCAAAACAATGGCAAAAAAATAAAATTTTATAAAAATAGAAAACAGGTTTAAATAAATATTCAGTCCCAACGACCCTTATATATTTTAATACCTTTACAAGTGGGGCTATATCGCATTAATTCCGAATGTGAACGAGAAAGTGCGCTTGGAACTTCCGGCGGGGGTGGCGGAAGAACCGACGTCACTAATCGATCGTAAAGATCGGTTTGATCAAACAATATAGAACCAATCGTACATATACCATTACGGAACCTGCTGTATGGACTTCTATTGCTATGTTTCTCTTGCCATGTTGATCTTTTTGCAAATAAATAAATAAATAACCTAAATATAATACATTTAAAAGAGAAAAATTAAAATGTTTTTCTATTCGCAATAGTTGGATAAGGCAATGTAATACAGGAGTGATCTACCAATAGGTATTGCTCGCCAGGACTTTCTATAGGTAACTAGCCTCTATTTTAATATTACACCAGTGAACAAAACCCGAAAAACTCCACGTTGTGAGGTGTTAACCCGCGACCGTAAACTGAATAAAAAAGTTCTAGGAGGAAAATTTAACATCTCATACACGGTGGCATCTGCCTCCATATGAGTCAAAATATAGATCGATTGCGTCGTGGTCTTCGACAGATTTTATTTTATCCCGAAGCGTAATAGAAAATGAATTGTAAAGTGACTTTTATACCAGTAGCGTGTTGTGAAATTTGATGAGAGGGGAAATGTGTTTCTTTATGAAGTTGACTTCCAGGGGCAAATCAGTTAATTTTTAAAACGTATTTCTACAGATTATTTATCTGACGTAATTAATAAATAAACAAGTTCAATATAATTAACTCTGTTATTAAAATCAATAGTTTTCCTATCCACTTTAAATGCCGNAATCTTTTCGATGATTTTTAATGTTCGCAGAGGAATTAATTTATAAAAATTGTACTATTCTGTTGACACAAAACAACTGCGAAAATAGAGGAATGAACTAGAATTATTTTAATTAATTAAGATTCAAACGATACTAATATATATACGTGTGTAATTTATAAACTATAGCGGGGAATAACAGATTTATTAATATTTATTTTGCTATAACAATAGAAAGATGTGAATCGTTCGAAGGAAACCGATCAATTTTTATCGAATTTCATCGCCGCCAACTGTGATATTTTTCTGATCAAAGTTAAACAGTATTTAAATCTACAAAGGTCATAGTGTAAACTTACATTACTTTAAACAATCGCTGCAAACGAAGCAAAACTTGAAAAAGCACTCGCATTAAACAATCGCACGAGTCAACAATAGATTCTCTCTCAACAACCAGAAAATTTTATTGTTGCATAGTGACTCGATTTAATGTTAAAAATTTGCATTTCG